GTCCTACTAATACTAACTAATTAATACTCCTAAACTAGTTTCTAGAGTTGTAAGTAGCTTACTATCGAATAGAGTAATAGGTCAGTACATAGCATATAATTAGTCCTCGTCCTTACGTGTCTCTCTCTCTCTCTCTCTCTCTCTCTCTCTCTCGACAATGTAATTGGGGCCTGTACTTGCCTGAAACCTAAAAGAGCTTAGCGTGTTTTATTCATATCATAGTGATTCACCCTGTTATATTTGTCCATGTTTCTCTGCATAGTCTGCTTTTGATTATGGAATTCAGATGAAAGCTTACTCCTTTTTATTATGTTGAAATAGAAACTTTATGATGTGATATTCTCAGCTATTGTTCAAATATTTTCTGGAAGATTAGCAAGAATTTGTCATGACATTTAACGAATCTTCGGAAATTTGATTACTATGTAAACAAGCACATTGAACCAATGTGTGTGTGCGTGCGCGCGCGAGAGAGAGAGAGAGAGAGAGAGAGAGAGAGAGAGCTTCGTAGGATAGGAGCAAGAAGATGAACCATTCAAGCAAACATTGTTCAGGAAATCTGATGTTCCGAAGAAAACATTGTTGAAGAAACCAAGTTAGAGGGAGAGAGAGCAAAACAGCCTGTCCTCATGTCACACAAACAATACCCAGGAAGAGAGAGAGAGATTGCTACGCAGGAGATTTGGCAAGGATGGGAACATAATCAAGGATGATGAGGTTTTCCACAGCCTCCACGAATTTTATGGCATAAGCTCTGTGTGCAGGATGAGCAACGTACTCCTCCAAACCATTTGCATCAAAGAATGTAATCACAAAGACATGTGTGAAGCCTTGGTGCCTTTTCCCTTCTTGTGCAGTTCCCCTGCAGCAAAAACAAGATCAAAAGAATTCAAGATAGAAAGAGCCTTATAATAGGCCAGAGGCCAGAAAGATTATTTGCTCCTGTGGGAGCATATAGGGCTGAGAAATTTTTTGGATTGGGTCCGGATCCACCTAGATCCGGATCCGGATCCAAAAAATATATATTGGATGCATATCATATCGGATCTAGAATATTCAGATCTGAATCTAGATCTATATATAGGATTTGGATTTAAATTTGGATTTGAATCATTTTTAATTTTGCATATTATAAAGTTAAAATATATTATAACATTAAAATAATTATATATTATAAATATATAAATTGTAACATATATGTATATATAATAATATATAGGGTGCGGTTTGTATAGAGCTTAGGCTCTAAACAATCAAATTAGAACCTACCTTCAAATGGTGTCGAGAAATGTGGTTTTGATACGAGAAATTTTTGTGATACCCTTAAAATATATTTTCATATTTATTTATAAAGTTTAAAGCTTCAAAAATAGTGTAGATCGATAGATCTATGACAACTTGAAAATTTTGAAAATTGACGGTCCAAAAATGTGTTACAAAATACACTATTTCTTAGAAGTGAAATCCATTTTTTTATCATGTCCATTCATTGTGATGTTGAGATGATCAATTTGAAAATATTTGGGCATCAAAACAACCTTTTCTAGTAAAATTTTTGAGGCATGCTCAAATTTGATTGTTTAGAGCAGTGTTTTAAAAAACACCGAGTCGAACCAGACAATCTTCGGGGATTTTAGATTGGGAACACAACAAAACACTAACACTCAGGGATTTGGGAATAGTCAGACGCTTGCTAATATCGATGATTCGTTTTTAGATCGAATGAATGAATTGTTAAACGAATTCAATCAATGGCACCAGCGTGACCAAGAAGAACAATAACGTCGTCTATCATTTTATTTTTAGATCATATGTTACTAATTTTATGTTTTATTGTAGTCCATGTATGTTGATATATTTATTCCATGATAATTATATGTTTATCCTTTTGTGTGATGTAAATTAAATGTTGAATGGCGGTTCATGCAGGGAAAGAACATATCAATATTCGCATATTCATTCAAAAACATGAAAATTCTTAATGGAGTACCCTCATTTCTTATTGAATTTCTAAAAAACAATATTTATAATGAATTTTAATAATTTTTTCGCATTTTTTTTAAGCTTTATTCTGACCGATTCACCCGATTCCCGATTCGAATCGTCGATTCGCCGATCCAGATCGGTTTTTTGGACGCCCGATCCGGGTCATTGATCCGTTTTTTAAACCATTGGTTTAGAGCGTTGGCTCTATATAAACTTTTTCCTAATATATATAATCTTAAAATATCATATCGGATCCACCTATGCTTGGATCCAACCAGGATTACTATTCCGATCAAAATTTTGGATATGGTTCAAATTTCGGATCCAAATCTTGGATCCATACTTAGATTTGGATAGGATCTAAATTTCAAGTTTCGGATATGGACTGGGTAAATTCTTTAAGAGCATATTGTTCATTTACTCCCTCGGATATAAAGCATCACCTTGATGCTTTATAGGATGTTATAATTTGGATGTAACCTCCTCAACTTAGTGACCAATCATGAAAAGGAGACACTTTCATATCTATAATAGCCTGATAAAATAACATCCAAAGATTTAAGAGATGCCATTTAATTTTGGATGGTCATGTCTAGGTATTTGAGAACTTGAAAGCAATGTTTTTTAAATGAAACAAAATGGTTCTTGCTCTCACCAGAGCATACTGTCCATTTGCTCCTTTTGAAAAATCCAAGCCGCGTATTTCTAGGACCCAAAATTTGGGTATGTGACCTCATAAACTAATGAGCAATCTTAAAAAAAAAATAAAAAAAAATAAAAGTAAAGAAATAAAGTACATTCTTTATCTACTTCAAAAAAAATAAGATTGAATAAGGACTATCCAATTTTTTAACAATAAAATTTTAAGTATTGAAACATTCAAATCCAAAAATTTTCTTTAAATAATCATCAGGCAATTCTTAAGGGCATATCAAAATTTGAGATGAAAAGAAACGCCAAGTAGGTCTTTTTCTCGCAGTAAGTGTACAAGTACTTAATGATTCTAAAGTGGATCTCAAAAAACAAATCGAGACGCCGCTTAAGGTGTGGTATATAATTTGACCTAATTTTTTCTGGCGGGATCACACACTGTGTCCTTATAAGAAAGAATGCCATCTCCCTTGCATTTAATAAAATATTAAAAAATAATTTGTAAAATATAAATTGATCAAAATATTATTGAAAAGTTTTGAAGGTATTTTGGTTAATTTATTTTTTTATATTTTTATTAGATTCACCTATTTTTTAAAGAATAGGTACTCAAAATTTCAAGTGATTTAGATTTATAGAAAAAAATGAAAAATTCAAATACAAAATGTGGTCATAACCAGTGGATCTTATTTAGATTCAATTTGGGCTGTTGGCTGGTATTGTTATCTAAGTAGCTTGGCTTGACTGATTCTATCTTTTTCTATATATATATATATATATATATATATATATATATAGTAAATATATGCACGCTATAGACGAAAGTAGAACGAGTGTACTTTCGTACTACCGTTACACTACTACCGTTCCAAACGTTCACTCC